TTTCGTGATGTCCCGCGTCAGTGATTCGAACAGTTTTCACCGCATTCAGAGCAATACTCACTGCCAAACTCATCCACTTCGAAAGCATTTTGGTGCCCAAACATGATTTTATTACACATGCAATTTCCTCATCGTTGTTGATGTCAATCGGCTTGCTGAAATCAAAAAAACGATGAAAGTGTTGCAGCAAATTGTTCCTAATTCAACCGAAAGCATTATGCTAGTTACTGTAAATGATATTCTGGCAACAGCAGAAAAACCATCCAGTAAGACAACCAGTCCCTCCGCAATTTCTTCCTTCGTTTCAGTGGCAAAATTGTTACTTCTACGTTCCAAGAAGAATAAAAAACCCGCTATCAGCTTAGTTCTAAGAAATCGTAGAAAGAGGAAGCCATCGACAGCCATGTTGGCATGTACTACCATGTCAGCTAATTACGAGTTATACCGAATTTATCACGAAAAGGATTTGATTTTGCATTTGGCTATTATATCATTCATACAAAGAAGATGAGGATGGAATTCCACCTCCTAACTATATAACGATAGAGGTAAATCTAGTGGATATATGTTTTATCGCTTGTTGTTCAAACTGTTCCGAATTTAATCACCTGAATTTCTCTTCCGCGAAACCAATCATATCTTCGAGCGCCATGCGATAAGCCTAGAAATAATGCGTTTATTTCAGCTTATTCAAGTTGACGTTCCTGCCGTAAAACATAAGTGGTGTTCACGAAAAAGTGAGCGATCTCTCAGTAAGCCTCTGGAAAAGTGGCACATATACAATGAAGATGGATGGTACCATCTACAGATATGTTAAAAGAGCAGAACTCCCTTGTTTTACACAACTACCGTTCTTTTCCATATGATATGCAAATGTCTCATCTCATGACTCGAGTTCCTCCTCCGAACTGATCGGCCTGGAGCTTCGCTGAGTTTAGCCGAGGGACTTTCCAGTAGCAAATCACCGTACTAACCGATCTAGTTGGATATGATATTTTTGATAACAAAAATTCCAGCTCAGACCCATTTTGGAAAGCTGTATGTCACATCATACGTTTCAGATGCTCACGAAAAGTACCTAAAAATGTAAGAGGTGTGTATGTGTAGAAAGTACCTGGATGACAATGGTTGGATGAATGTTCTGATCCAGGAACTGTTCTGCCTGCGACATAACCTCACCGGCCAGTACAATCACCGACGTCGTCCCATCGCCAACTTCCTCGTCCTGAGTGCGGGCAATTTCGATGATTGACTTCGCGGCCGGATGTTTCACGGTAATTTCCCGTAAAATTGCATTCCCATCATTTGTGAGAACCAGGCCTGAAATATCCAGGATAAAATAAAATGGACTCAGTCTCTTTCATTGGTCACTTGGCCCGATAAGCCTCCCAACTTGCTGGCCACATAGGAAATCAAGGTTTTTCACCTTTACAACAGTTATGAATAGTGGCACCAGTGATGCTATGATAGTTGATCACAGCGCCTACTAACAAATCTCATAGCTTCCAACCTTTTAAAAGTTACAACTGATACATAAAGCAGGAGCTAAAATGAGGACCTACGAGGAAGAACAAGAAATTAGAGGCAAAATTAGGTCCAGGTAATGAAATGTAGGGGCAAATCCGAAAAGGATTCTATTAAAAACAAATTTCTTTTCAAAAACATTTTACGGATACCTCCCATAGGATCCATGAGCATCTTGAGCATAGCACGTGGCCCCAGGCTAGTACGAATCACATCGGCAATCGTCTGAAATGCAGCATATTTGCTTTAGTTGATCAAACAAGCATTTTCCCCACAATGATATTTCTCCTAGATGCGATTCTCAAAACCGGTTGCAGGGATGAAATCAGGATGTCATCGGATAACACGCATCAGGCAATGTTGAAAAAGAGCCTCGGCACTTATCATTAGTGATCAGAAACATGCTTCCTTAAGCAACAGCAGTAATAACAGTGATTGTGACTGTGTAAAGTCAAAAACAATGATAGTAGTTATAGAAATAATAATCTTGTCTCCGTATATTCTTTGTTAAAATACTGAATTTTTAGCTCAAATGGCGCTCGAAAGTAGCCCAAATGGCAAATAAATGTTAATTTTTAGAGGAACAAAGTGATGAAGATTCTGGTCTTACCATACACATACACAAGTACCAATTTACCATCGAAACGAATGATCGAATCGTAGAGGGATTGGCTGACACACTGGTGGAGTTAAAGCCTCATTTTGTACGAGAATCGGGATCTCTCCCACTGCGCCATGCCCGTCAGTGTAAAGTAATTGCTCAGTACAAAAGAGGATAAACTCTGACCAAAAATTAACATTACAGCAATTCTGCTAGTTATTACATTCCACAGGCTCAACAGCAAAACATACCTTAGCAGCACGAATGTTGCCGCGTTGTACTTGATGGCCACTTTCGCGTGTTGTCTTCTCACTGAGCACCAAAATCCTCGCAGCACTGCCGGGAAACATTCTCTAACGTTGCACCCAAAACACTGCAAAAGCAACTGGTCATATTTCAAAGCAATAACGTACGGATGCGAAACGTGGTCTGCGACGAAAGTTGATAGGCATATGCTGAGTTAGAGAGTTCAACAACGAGCAATTTCCAGATTCTGCTTCAGGAACACAGCCATTCCTGGTAAAAATATTTCCTCCTGAACAAAACAATAACAGAAGCCCAGTGGCATCGCTAAATGACTAAAAATAAATCCTTTTCCCCCATATCGTTTTACCGTTTTCTCATCACTTCAGCTTATACAGCTTGACATATGTCCATCATAAACATGGTGGCTAAGGGGCTGTACTGATGATTCCCACTCCTGTCCGCATGCTGCTTTTGCTCTTTGTTTACAGCTAAGAGATAAAACACAAACTACTTCCAACATGGCATATTTAGACTGATCCCTTATATCCTGTCCAAATATACATCTGCGACGGAGAAAGCGATGGGATGAAGGATGCTTGGCGTATCTCCCAGCGAACATACAAACAATCAGACTCTCCGTCAGATGAACAGCGTGCAGGATGATACCGTAACCACGCGGAAAGTAAAATCGGATGCAGCTCGCTTCTGATGAAGTTGAATTTGTTCAATTTGCAAAATTAAACAGAATTGGGCAGTGCTCTACAAAACTGTAAGATGCAGTTCAAAATCAGACATCCAGGCACTTTCTCCCCAGCGTTTTTGCACCCTTACATAATATCTTGAAAACCATTACGCAGTGAAGACGTCAGTCACGTAAAAAGGCAGATCAAGCTTTAGCTGACGCAATTCCCTTGAAGTTTATGTCAAATTTTAAGCCAAAAGGGTAGTAAACGACTTCAAAACGGGATTAGAATCGTCGGCCGAGGAAGCCTGTGGACGAAGTGGGGGTCCTACAGGACACAGCTCAATATGCCCAGCGGTACAGAAGAAGCCGATCGTATCAAACCCCAGAAAAACACCCCCATAGTGACCCCAACAGCCCTAATTCACACACACGCACACACACAGACACACACACACAAATACATACGCACACACACACAGGCCGAACTGACTTTTGCGTATTTCCCAGTGCAAAAATTTAACGGCCTCCCTATGCCCAAAACCGCGAATTGGCGTCTCGCCGGTTATTTCTAGCGATACTTTTGCATTGGGCTGGGAAGAGGAATTGAAGGGCCTGGCATAGCTGCACAGGCAGTGTGAGAACATCATTCCAGTAACATCACTAACATGGAATGCCTACGGCGATTGCCTGGGCAGGCTTGCTTTTCTTGGTTCCGTCGCAACTTCCGTTTTAGGGAATTTCAATTTTTGGGGAGAAATATAACGCTTACGATGAAGAGAGATCACACACAGCGAGATTACTGATAGCATTGAAGCTGTCCAGTTGTGGTGTTGAATAGGAATGTGTATGAAGTGGTCCTGTTCCGTCGAACTTTTTTTTAAAATATATATATATCTTCACTACAGTCTCATTGCTAGTAACACGGACAGAATGCATCACGGAATTAGAAGTAATAGACCAACAGGAAGCCACAACCTCCCTAAACAGAGTGTTCCACATTTCTGCAATTCAAACACTGAACAGAACACGTTTTACTATCGCATTCCGGTCCTACGGATGGGCTATTCATAGTCACCTTGTAGGGCAGGTACTGCCTGTGCTGGTCTTTACCCTTCATTGAATGGGCCGTTGTTCCTGTCCCTCAGCTTATTAGCCGTTTCCTTTTGCCTATAGGACTTTTACGGCCCGTATTGCCTTCTATTTCTCGTTTTACTAACGAAGTTTAGGCTGTGTGTTTTCTAGAATTTAGTAGAATTTATTCCCAAATCCAAAAATCCCTTCGAATCCGGGCCAACGTTGCCCGAAGACAACTGACGACAGTGCGCTTCCTCTATGATTTTTTTGCAGATTTTGTGGGTTCCGGCATAAATTTGCCAGACCATGTGAAAAAAAATGGCGAGGAGAGGACGCAAGCGCACCACTGCTGCTTCTGTAACTGAGGCAAACTCAGAGGTACTGGATGTTGCTCCGAATGAGGCCAAGAAAAAGGCAAAAGTGACCAGTGATGTGCCGGAGGAAGGCCATGGCATAAAGCAGCGGGGCAGGCGGCCAAAGAGGAAACAGTCTAATGACATTTTGGCAAGGAACATCTCCGGTTAGATTTCAAGCATAATAATAAATCGCGGCCATTAAAAGAACGCATAGAAATCTTAAAACAAGCGGACAGTGCAAAGAAATCAAAATGTGGAACGGCCGGAGCCAAAATAAATTACCCTTTTTGTTAAATGGACGAGACGCTCGGATAGTTACATCTATACGCTACAGCTTCTAATAGTTGCCACCTGAAGAATCCAATGCTGGGCTTTTTATTATTCATTTTGCTTTATCTATAAACATTTATTCATTTACCAAACAGGATAAATATGCTTATTTATTTTTATAAACGTGTCATACACCTGAATGCAGAAGAGATAAAAATGCAGGATTAATGAAGTGAATTACAGCAGTTTTTTCTTAACATTAATCCAGGCGATTTGCCAACAAATCTCACTTCAGTAATTATCGGGTAGATCTCTTGGCCATCTGTACTTGGTGTGTTTTTTTATTAAGGATTTTTTTCTTAGGGATTTTCCTCAAGGATTTTCCCCTGTTTCTCCTGCTTTTTCATCCCTACACTCCCTCAGCCATGATTGTTCTGAAGCATGCTCAGGGGGACGTGATTAGGAAAAGCATTGGCAGCTTTAGCAGCGTGTGATTTGATTTTTCACACAGATAATAAAATATATCTCAAGATTTTGCCATTTGAAGTCTCTCAGTACTACTCGAATAACTTAATTTTTTTGGAAACAAAAACTGACCGAAACTTCAGAAATCGATGACGAAAATGAGGGCGAAAAACCGATCAAAATGGTGAAGCAGACAGGAAGTGAAACGAATGAACGAAAAGAAGCTGTCAAGGAAGAGCCTATAGAACTAATTGGCCAAAAAAATGATGAAGAGTCGAAAGTTAGTAGAAAGAAATTGCGCCAACGAATGCCGAAAAAGGCAGCTGGTGATAGCGATTCAGCGAGTAGCATAGAAGTGAATTTTGGTTAGTTATTTCTGAAAACAGTTTAGCGTTATTTCACGTAATATCAAAGCAAATATTTCTTGTTGGGAATGCGATTTTCTTTTGCAAAAAATGTTGACCAGTAAGTAATCAAATTCCCAAAATTCAGTTTCTCTGTTCAAATTGTATCTCGCTGTTTGACATCAAGCCTATCGGTCGATCTTGAGCTGCATGTCTCCAGTTAGTACCCAGAGCCTGCTCGATGTATTTACGCTACTTTTTCATAAGTTACTCGACGATTAGCTGTTTATTTCGTACGCATGCCACTCACCAAATTCAAAATATATGTATTTCATAAAATTAATTTCTAAAAAGAAGTTTGTTTTGGGCGAAGGTATAAGAAGAGAAAGAGAAAAATAAAGAGAAAATCGTCGTAAAAAACCACAGATTCTTTCAGAGGAAAAATCGTGATAAAGCAATGTAATTTTTTTATTAGCAAACAGCATAACTAAAAAATTGTTTTGCAGAATCGGAAGATAGTGATTACAGTGATAAGGTAAAAACAAAACAAAAACGAAAGCATGCTGTAAAATTGAATACTATCCAGAAGCAGTCCAAGAAAGGAGGGAAAGTCAAGGGAACTTCTGAAAACGATCAAGCAAAACTTCGCCGACGACCGCCGAAGAAGGAATTTCATAACGAAGACATAGTAACTAATCAGCCTGGTTAGATATTATGGTACTTTTTACTACTGTGCGGGCTTTTCTCGCATTTCACTGAGTTTGCACTTTTCGAATTGATCTTCTGATAAATTTCAGGCACTTCCAGAAGGTCAGCCAAAGCCGTTGCGAAATCATTTAAAGAACAGACAAATCGAAAGCGGCGAATCAGTGCCGCTTCATTTGGTTCCAGTTTCTCAGAAGATGAATGGGAAGAAATGGAAGAATTGGAAATGCTTGATGAAATGAGTTACAAGCCACCACCACAAGATAGTGTTGAGATAACAATTAAAGCACCGAAGCCAGTCGAAACAATTGAAGCAAAATGGGCAAAATTTATCAGACAAGCAGTAAATCGTAAAATTCGTGAACGACAAGTCAACTGTCATAAGGTTAGTACTTTTACTTGGGTAAATGACTAGTCTGAATAACTTGGATTAGCTGCAATTCATAGTTTGATTCCCCAACTATGCAGTTATTCATTTCATCTAGTTGCTTCACCTCGATCTTCTCCCTTTGTCACAACCTGCTAGTTGATATTCGTTTTGTTGCCTCAGAGGATTGCCAGTACAGTGGTTCTAAGGTTTTAGCTAATTCGGAACGCCACCGATGTGTGTAGAGCATCACCAAGTCGTCCAGAACAATCCTTAGACACGGATGAGGTGATACTTCATCGAATTAGAATTGGACATCTGCAGAAAATGAGCGCCTTACATCGCTACAGAAAATTGTAACGATTTGCATGTAATATCCGCAATAGTTGCGGCAGAAATGCGTAATGATGCCAGCTGTCAACTGCGTAGTGTTTGCCGTGAACGGAGCGTTTTCTCTGAAAATTGTTCTGGACTAGGAGGGAGTCGAACCATCCCTGTTCACGTCCGGATGCAATGTGTTACCAGTACACCACAAGTCCTTGTGCGTGAGGTTCACGCCTGACAGCACATCTGCTGTGTATCTGCCTTTCAAGGCATAATATGCCTTCCTTTTGTCCTCTTTTTCTATGTGGCGGCTTCTTGGCCGGCTTTTCGCGGGTTTTTCATGACAGTGTTCATTTATTTTCGATGTGTTCTTAGCCAGTTCTACTCTTTCAGATGCATCTTCTTTGTTACATTGCACATTTGCAAATCTGGACTCGAGCTTTGGTACGGAATGAAGCATTGATGTCTCTCTGTTTATCACTGATACCGGAAGGATACATTACAGCAGCGCAGCATGGATTAGATATAGCCACCGCCGAAAGATTCTTGAAATGGTTTAGATCAGCTTTTCAACAGGCACAAAAAGACTACA